TTGTGTGTTCTTTCACTATTTCTGTACCTTGTTTTGAGTTCCATGGTTTCCGATGTCTCAAAGTTTATTCATAGTCTGTTGTAATATATATATATATATATGTATTAACGCAGTAAGAAGACAGAGGTTGCGATATGTTAACATTTCGATTGCTCTCGTCAGTCGCAACGCAATACAGGCAGAAAAAGCACGCAATATATAGGGTCCACACATAGTAACATAGATAAGCAGATAAAAATGATGGGAATGACGTAATCAGGACCAAGGCAATCTAATTGATTGTCTCAGTTGTTTCTGGGCACAGAGTACGGGACGCTTCAATCTTATCAGTAGCGCCTCGCCAATTGCCAACAGTGTCGGGTTCCTGTTGCGCAATAGCACCTTGAATGAGTCGATCGGGTTCACCTGGTGACGAGTCAGCAAGAGGTGTTTGGAGATAGACGAGGCAGGGTTCAAATTCATTCTTTGTTTCGCTCCGCCTTGGTTAGACAACAACTGCCTTAGCCACAATGGGAAATGTTCCGCCACCCTTTGAGCTAGCCGGCGACCAGTCTTGCCTATGTAAGTGTCACCGCAACTGCAAGTGAACTGGTAGATGATGTTAGAGGCCGAACTGATTGGCGCGCTGCTCGAACGGATGTGGAGAGGAATCCTTCGTGTGCCTGCCTGTATTTTCTGCCTGTATTGCGTTGCGACTGACGAGAGCAATCGAAATGTTAACATATCGCAACCTCTGTCTTCTTACTGCGTTAATGAAGTGGCTGAAGGGGACTCAGTGTTTCAAATATATATGTATGTATGTATATATATATATGTATATATATATATATATATATATATATATATATTCACCAACCTTTGAATTCTATGCGTTTGAACGATATTACATATTATTTTGCACAGTTATGTTTTTCTCAGTTCAGGCCTACTTGCCAATTAGGAATTTCTTTGGTAATTGGAAATTGGTTACTCTCCCCCCCCCTCAACATCTTACTAATTTATTTATTTTTTCTTTTTTATGCGTCGAAATCTGGGTTTCTTCTTTAACCACTTATGCTTTTGGTGTGGCTTTTTTCTGCGTCCTGTCTTCCTTCTGGTATTCTTCGAGACTATTTCTAATTGTTTTTCGCTCTTACCGTTCAACCTCCGCTGCCATGCGCGTTATTTCCGCTCTCGATAGGCCGCCAGTTATCTTTTCTCTATTTCGCTTGTTGGGTCGTTACTAATTCCTTGATAGTACTAGATATGTTAGCACTTTTTTGCGGAACTTCATCTTTCCAGCGCATATTGTTACTTGTACTTTTGCTGACGACTTGATCATCTTCATTTTCAAACTGTTTTTCATCCAGATATCTCAGCAAAAGGGCGCCTCGAATGTCTCCTGTTCGCTGTCACTGTCGAATCTCAGAGTTTCGAATTCAGCTTGGCTCTTGCTTCTGTAGGAGGGGGTTGTAAAATCTTGTGACTGTCATCTCCATGTGATATACAGCCACATTCGGCGAACGTAGAAACGCGGTTTTACGTATTTGAAGTTGAGAGAGACGTGCTTATCTGAACCCGTGGACATGGTTTGATTCTTGTATGCATTCGTTCTTGATGCGCTGTGTAGGGTGAAATTTCCCACTCTGTAGCGCACTTTTATTGAATTCCCTAAGACGATGAAACTGCCGAAACGTCCATCATTCCGAATATTTACGTCTTTTCTTCCAGTTACATTAAAGTCTATCTGTTCATGGGATTCACTTCATCCAATTGTATGGTATCTGGTAAAAATAGCTTGCTTCGCGGATACGTTCGATTTATTTTCTTACATCCTTCACCTGTTTCATGGTTTTGCTCAGGCATTCTCAACCTTTATTCAGCCGTGACCCCCGTTTGCACCTTTCTATTTCTCATGGCCCCGTCCTTGATCACCACGATTTCAGCAATCCACAACGCTAAACGGACTTAAATGTGTGCTTTCCAGTTATGTTGCTTATATTTTTTGTTATGATGGTCAAATTTTAAATGTTAACATCACTGCTCTTTCCCTTATAAACCTCCTTTTTGAACTCCCACAGCCTCAAGATAACACATATTGTGCAGCAACATCAAACCACTTATCTGTAATTACACAAAAGCCATCATTGCTATTTAAAAATATATTTAATTATTGTTAACTTTCAACTGTAATGCATGTGACGCTTTAGGGGTTATAGTCATGTCTTAACGTTATCTTTGTCGAAATATTAGTACTAGTCTTGAGTCTGGTGTCCTTGAGCAACTTTGCTCATGACCGTCTCCACACTAGATATCGAGAGTCGAAGATCTCCTCTTGCAATCTTTTTTTAATTTTTTTCGTAGAAAGCACTACTGAGGCCACTTTCAACCAAGTGTGGAGATGTTTAATAGGGGCACCACTGTTTATTCAAAAATCCATTTTATGTTGCGTGAATTTGGATCTTGCTAGTGTGTCGCTTTAAAAGCTGTATGAAACTTTACTGGATTTTAACTTCAACATTGCAGGACCATACATCAGATTGATCTAGAATACAAACCGGCTTTCTATGTTATTCAGATCATGGGAGCTCTCATTTTATTTCATTTGTAAATGACTGGCATGAACAATCAAGTCTTTATCCTTCAGCTCCTCCGTGATTGTAGCGAGAAATGTGTTCTACGAAAGTTCCCGACGTCCGTTATTTTGAGCATGCATTTCCAGCTTTTTAAGAAATGCGATGATGGCTTCTTTGCTTGTCATGAGGTTACTCAACTTGCTTTGAACGGTTTTAATTTATAAGTTGCGTTTTTCTTAAACATCAGCCAGAAAAAACATGTCTAGCTTAGCTGTGTTTTTTCATACAGTTCGAGGAATCGATGTGATGATGTGTCACATGGTGCAACAAAACGGCGAAGACAATTTCCTTTGGCGAGCCATCTAACCACTGTTTGCAGCAGTAGAACCTGGAACTCTTCACCGTTCTCCTCACACAACTGCTGGAAAAGATGGTTTTGAAAAGCTGCGATTTGTTATTGTTGGCTACTGTTATAATAGCTAACTCTGAATCGTTTAATCGCCATCCCAAGTTCTTAGCGACTAGACGCTCTTGCTGAATTGTATGAACAGAAGTAATGAATCCTTTATTTCTTCTGACCGTTGCGTCCGCGCCCTATGTTACACCTGTAAATGTGTTTAGCATTGCGATGGAGTTGTCAGTTAGATAGCCTTTAACTCAGTCCAATATAGACTGGCCTCTTGTATGTGTTTTAATTCTCCTGGCAAACAGCATCTCCATAAATTCATTATAATTTGAGAATCGGGCATATGCCAAGAGAAGAGCGTTGTTATCACAAAGATATATATATACAAATATATATATATATATATATATATATATATATATATATATATATATATATATATATAAGTCAAGCCATAATTTCCAGTCTCCTACCGAGGCCAGCCACTTCGTCAGCTCTTTCATGCGGCTCATCCAGCTCTGCCCAGCAACCGCGAACATTGCACGACGCGGAAGGCGTTGAGCTGGCGTGCGCATCTCGTGACCAAGCCACGGCAATCAGCCCAGCGATACAGTCTTCCCCAGCGGATGGCTGTCTCTCCGCATTGCTTACATGGTCCAGCCACCACACACGAGTGATGGACTGCAAGCAATTTTGCTCTAAGGCAGACAACTGGCACCGGTCAACGGTTCGAACAGGCCACGTCTGACAGCAGTACAGCACCGACAGTCGCACAATTGACCCGCCCTTTGGTGGAGAGACGGATGTCATGGCGGCGCCACAAGTGCCTCAGTCTGGAGAAGGCAAGACGAGCTTTTGAGATACGCATCGAAATCTCATCTCCACCAGCAGTGATGGAACTTCCTGGGTAGACGAAACGCTCCACCACCTCCAGTGTCTCGCCACCGAGAGTGAGTATAGAGTGGGTATAGGCATCTGTCAGTCTTGAAAAAATTATTTGTACTTAGACGGGGAAAAGTGCATACCAAATGTCGACACTTCAATCGCCAAACGGTTAACTGCAGACTTGACGGCCTGCGAACCATCACTCAGTAAGACGATATCATCAGCGTAGTCCAAGTCAACTACTCGACTACCTGAGAGAAGCTCAACGCCAGTGTTTCACGAGTCTTCTAGAGCATTTCGGAGGATATCAGGTGGAGTAGATTCATCTACTTGTAACGAAAATTTTATGGACTGGATTAAAGTAACTAAGGTACTTTGTGTCCTGAGCCATCTCATCTATTCGTCTGGATACAGTTGAGTTGCTGAGCAGAATGGATTGAACTGCTTCTTGAGGAGTCATGTTCATCCGGTCCGATAGTATTACTGATACTGAAAGCAAGATAATATTTTCTCCAAAAATGCAGGAACAATGTTTGAGGCAATCCAATGGTGGTTTCTGAGGATGATTTTGGATATGCCGTGGATAGCTAAAATGACTGAATTGCGCGGAAAACACTTCCAGAAAATGTTTTCAAAACGAATCTTGTTATATTTGGGTTGTCACAGTCACTTTTTGCAACTTGGCCCCCCTAAAACTTTTTCTCAACCCATGTCCCCTGGAAATTCTCTGTGGCTCCCACTAGGACCCTTATGGATTCCGTTGAGAATGACTGGCTTTGCGGAGTTCTCCAATTAACCCCTACTACTTACTAATAATCAGTAATCTGTCGGTTGGTGCATTTGACTGCCGGGCTGTGGTCCCGAGGACGGTGAACACGATTGTTTGGACATTTGCTGAAATGGCAAAGAGCCGGCCCCAGTGGCGTTTATGTTATTCTGTCCCATCCCATCTCTTTTAGCTTCCCTCTCCAAATATGATCTCATAGCAAATGCATACTATGATATTTGACATCGTATTACGCTTTTTGCTTTTTTCTGTAGTACTCAGTTTTGGGTGTTTGAACCATTTTTGTATTACGGCATATTAGCTGAGATGTTTCTCACCCTTAGATAACTTTTATTGATGATAATGAGACGGTTATATACTTGTTTCAGGCATATTGTCAGCCTCTTTCTCCAATCTTTTTGCATCCATCCTCGTTTCCACACAATGACTGTGGAATCAGAATCTTCTGAGTCTGCTAACTTGTCGGCCACACCTTCGCACTCACAGAATGGAGTGCACTCATCTGATGACCCTATTTTGGCAGACCTTTGGAATCATTTGGATCACATACAACCCACGGTTAGTTGTTTCCGCTCTACTCACTGTACCTTGGAGTGTACCATTTCGTTTTTACAGTTCGGTCTTCGATTACCGGTGTTTTAACTTACGTCTACTTTCTTGCCTACCATAACGTACGTAAGCCACAACACCCGCTTTTACTCTGGTACTTCGTATCGATCCAACACTTCATTAATCGTGTCTGGATTTATGAGCTTCACTTGCCCTTTGCAACGGCCAGCAGTCAAAGGGTGATCAGCATCTTTGTTGTTCCAATAGCAGCCCTAATTGCTTTTGTTTAGCTCAGTGAGGGTGCTATTTTTTCGTCCTATCAAGTCATCGTCTTACGTCACTGACTTACACTCCTGCATTTTCTTGACCTGGTTGGTTCTTCTGACATCTGGCTTATTCAATGGTCCTGTATTCTTAATTGCGCCCGTCTTTTTAACAGGTCACCTGTTGGGCCTTAGTTTGGTCTCTTGTACCGGCTTATACACGCGCAATCTAGGAAGTGTACTACAACCGATTTTACAAAACGAAACGGGTGCTTCTAATGGAATCTGTTTGCTGCATACACCACATTCATTGTGTCACCACCTTCTACTTCGCTTGCTCTGCGTATGCCGCGATGTCGTGAATTTCCTCACTGACCAGGCCGGAGATGCGCTTCACGCTAACACGACGAACGAGAAAGTCAATTTCGGGTTTCGTAATGCTTTACATCTTCTGACGTAATATCTGCCGTGATACTTCGCTCCTGTCATTGCCAAGCGGTTCAGACATGTAGTTGGTTATCACAGGCCACTGGTTTGATACACCTCGAACAGACAGTGACGATCGATTTGTGTAACTATGTGCTGACCACATTTTTTATATTAGCAGCACTGCTTTGCAGCACAAACAGTCACATCGTGTCACTTGACCCCCACCGAATTCCTCGATGACCTGGACCCATATCGCCATCATCTACAGATCGCGCACTTCAGTCAAAGACTGTCAGTCATTTTGGAGCACGTGTCTGAATTCGGACGACACTAGTGCGCACACGTCTTGCGATCACTCTTTCTGCTTTGACGAAGCGCCATCTAATCATCCAACTTGTAACTTGAACTCGCAGTTCAATTGTATCGTGTTGAACTGACCTACCAATCTTTAATGTTGAATAATAACTAATAATAATAAATGGTATATTCTCCGATGATGAGAGGCACAGTCCAATTGATTGGTTTGGTTCTTATATATTACAGGATCGCGTAGGACGGACAATAAAGCTTCGAATATTTTTCCGAGCAGTTCTTAAACTAATTTGTGGGGCTGTTTGATCGGTTGCATCTGTCACTTAAATGCAGAGGTTGATAACAACAATATTAGTAATAATAAATGCAGATAAATCTAAATGTTCTAGTAGCGTTTTAAAGGCCAACCGTGGATTCCTTTCCAGGAGACCTGCTTTCATGCAAGCTACTTCCTCGAAGGGTTTTACCCGCACTTCCATGTGTATTCTGACTAAGTGCCGGTGTAGCTTTAAAACAGCTTAACTATCACCGATTGTACTCATCCTTAGAACTTTTCAGGTGTATACATACGGACATTCAGACCGTATAACCCATACCATCAATCGGTATTTTGAGTTAAGCACTTTTATTACTCGTCAGGGAGTCTGGTATTTTAACTTGCATAGGTTCGTTTGTTTGTACGGATGCTTCAATCCGTCACTTCAAGAGATCGACCCAGTCGTGGCCAACAGTGGAGTAAAGAAGAATATAGAATGTGGCGGTAGTAAGGTAATTACGCTAATGATGATAAATAAGAAATTGTTGTGTTTAAATACCGTCAAGAAAAGCTGACGGATTTCTCCAACAAACTGTGGGATGAGATCGTCGTACTAGATGGCTGCTCGAATTATCCATATCCAAGGCACTTCTCACAGAGATCTTTAGGCTTATCCCATAGTTGCATTTGATATCACGGAGCACTGAGAATTGCTATCTTCTCCTGGGCTGTTTCTCTCGGGAATGTCGAAGAAATATTTAACAACAGAACGAATGTAAAGAAGTGTAAGCTAAACGAACAATCAAATCAGTTTATATCTCGATATTATATGATACGGATTGTGGTTGATCCGGTCGAATTTTGTAAATGGATGCTTGAAAACAGTTTCTGTTCAAGTTGTCACATGAAAAGCGGTTCCGGACCAATGCCTTCAGTGGCAGCTGAGGCGTGTAGGAATTGACATTGATAGATGTCATGAAGATTTTGCTGGTATAGGAAAGACATTTTGGTTAGAAATGCAGAAAACAGTTCGTTCATAAATAAATACATGTTAAAATGGTCGCAGACAGAAAAACATTCATTAAAATTTATTAGCTATATTTAGATGTATAGATTTCGTTTAGCAGAGTTTAGTGTGCCATGTTCCTGTATTGTTGTGACGCAGACTATAATGGATTTTTAAGGCCAACAGTTGCGGGCTCAAAATATCGTATACGGGAAATATAAGATGATGGCGTTTGATACCATATTTTATAACTTTATTGGACGGCTTTCATACGCTAAATATTCTGTGACATTTTGTGTCATCAGCTCTGTGGCCTATTTAACAGTTAACATGCTTCGGATCTCAGATTTCAGATGATTTACATTCACGTAGGTTAGATGGCATCCTGTTCCATATCTTTGCGTAAGCATTCAAGTAGAAGTTCATGCGTGCTTAGATTCTGGTCCTTACCATTTTTACTAAGTTGTAACTGTCTCGAATACTCTTTAAATTTCTAATTCAGGCTTGGGGCATGAACTCCTTTGTGCATGTATCGAATAATAGACGTATAGCAAGCTGCATCCGCCTGAGCGACACCGGCTCTAGTTTTAAGGCCTTACAGAGCTGTGCGTGTGAGCTTCGAGCGACCAATCTCAGCAGTTTACAGAACCATCTCTGCTGGCAATCATCTTTTTTGCATTACTGTACGTCAATGCGCAATAGTGTAAAAACGTTCGGTAGACCGAATGCTAACCGCAATCGTCTCAGAGGTGCCGCGGAGAATGGTTTTGAGACCTGCTGTACACCCAGCTTGGGACGTCCTAACTGCGTACGGATCTCTGACGAATCGGTCAGTTTGATTTAAGCAAGGAAACAAGTGCTAATGCATATGGAGTTTCAGCGCGTTCGTGAACACTGAAACAACGAATGACAAAGAATATTTATGGGTGAAAAGGCCCTATGGCTGTTCCGGCTCCTTCGGTATACGGATTTAAGAAGGTCATCAGTTATTGGGACAAAATCTGAGAAAGATGGGCTGTTGGTCCATTCTCAGCCGCCTCGGCTAGCCCGTTGGGTAGGACATTTTGAAGAGCAGTTCAATCGGCCTGCTCTTTGCTAAATCATCTGAGCCAACGTGGGAAGTTGATGTCACCCCTTTCCTCGTCAGAAGACCTTCATCTTTGCTGAAAGATGGAGGTGACTCTTTGTTGACTAGACTTACTGCTATATTCAACACGTTTTGGAACACTGGAGAAGTGCCTTCAGATTGGCGACTGCCAACTCTTGTGCCTATCTTCACGAAGGATCAATGGTCATTGTGCAGAATGTTACGGAGATTTGAGGCTTCTTTCTGTTGCGTCCAAACCTCACGGATATAGCTCGTCGACGACCTACTGGCAGTTGTGAGAGCCGAATCAGTAGAGGCGAGGCTGACTTACACCCTGGTTGTGGTTTCATCGACTACTTATTTACTCTTCGTCCTGTTTTAGTGCAGAGACTCTTACAGTCGACCGAGTATTGCGGTTTGCTTGAGCTGAGATCCGCCTTCTACTCTGTTGATAAAGTCAGCTTGTGGCACTGCGTATTTGGGAAGAGAGTGCCTGCAAAACTCCTTTCCATTCTGAAGTCTACACCGTGGCTGCGGAGGCCATGTAAGGGTCTAGGGGAAGTTGTCTTTTGACTTCCACACGACAGAAGAGGTTCACTAGACTTGCTCTATATCTCAGTTCCTCTTCGACTTTGTGATTGATATGATCATGAATGATTTTGTTCTTTTAGATTTTTCCGTAGTGGTACTTCTGCCGGTTGACTGGCTGACAAAAATATGGTATGTGGGCGGCGTAACTACCCTAGGATTTGACGCAGTTGTTTTGCAAGCGCTGCTGAACAGACTGACCCTTAGCACTGCACGCTTCGACGTGCGCTTTGCAGGTTCGAACCGACACATCACTGGTTCTAGCTATCGGCAAACAGCCACTGGAAGTGGTGATTGGTTTACTTACCTTGGTGGCTATGTCATTTCTGATGGTCGCATCACTGAGGAAGTCATTTCGGGTTAGAGCAAGGACTGGGCAGGGTATCAATCTGTCAAACGAAAAATATATTGTATAACACAGCAATATGGCCGCTGTTACTGCATAGATATTTCTGATCCATGGCTAGTTCACAGTGAAAACATTAAACGTTTGGCCGTTTGATCACCTGTGCTTCCGGAGTATTGGTTACATTTGGAGGGATCACCAGGTGAGCAGTGCTGATGTCCACTAGTTGGGTTTTAGCAAGGAACTTTTTGGTGTCTCACTCGAGTGTTTGCCGATGCTTATTCGCTAACGTTGGTTTGGGCAAGCTCTCCGTATACCCGTTGAACGGCTTCCTCTGCGTGCATTATGTGCCGTGGCTGTGCAGTGTTGAATGAAACTGAAAGGTGGTCAGTTCATGACATGACATAAATTCATGAGGAAACTTACCGAAAGATTTGATCAAGCTGTGGCATGCCGTCTTCGTGGACGGGGCTACGGGATCGTCCACCGGAACTTGGAGACTGTCGGACATTGTGCAGTTACGCAGTCAGTGACGTTCCTACATTTTGTTTCTTGCGTTTATATTAGATATTTCTTTTCGTCCCAATTAGTTTTGTGCATTTCTGTTCTGATTTCCTTTTCTTTTACTTTGTCATTTTTCATTTTCCTACCGCCGTTAGTTGCTGTTCTTGTGACGTTAATCGTGGCAACTGGATCTACCGCACTTCGGTGCCCGGATGGTGTTTGTTCACTAAGCTGAACTGAACTGAACCGACTCCATTTGCTAAGCACGACTATTATATTTTTATATCTGGACGTCCCTAATAATATTACTTCACAGAGCTCCAACTGGATAGGCACTTTTCACATCTTACACCTACACATTCGATGTGTTTTGTGTCTCCGAAACATGGTTCGAATCTGCATAGTTGTTTGCCACCTCACCGGATCCTTAGTCCGCGCGCCATTGGCGATATTCGCATGGTCGCGAAGCTTCAGTGCGCCGCATCGATGTACTGCTGATGCCTTCCGGTTGCTTAAAATAGTGTATATCTTGTATCTCCCCTTGCCATATTAAATTTAAAAGGATGGAGCCCGTACAGCATTTCTCACCTGTGCTGTCGAGCGCATGGTTGTCGGCGTTTATGACGTCGGAGTAACTCTCATTAGATGTTTGGAGACCAGTCTTCCCGACTAGGTCCTAGTGAATGACCACGTGTATACGGTTCGACTTCGATACAACATAGAATCTTAACAGCGGCAGAAGACCACACATTTTCATTGTTTCGGATTAGGTTCACATTAGTGTGCCCCGGGGGCCATTCGAGATTAATCATATGTGCAACTTTCTTATTTAGCTAGCGGTTCAAGGACCTGTTCACTTTAATCTGGCCATCAAGGATGATGCATGGCAGTAGCGGCTGCTACTGCGGAAGCTGAGCACCAACAGTACATCAACTTTATCCTGCCAAATAACCCAAGGGATGCCCTTTTTCAGAGACGATCCAAACGCTTTCGAAGACGTTTAGCGAGTGATTTTCACTGTTAAATACCCGATTCCAATGTCTCCAACTAGCTAAACGTGATGCCGAAGATTTCATTACGTACGCCGGGATCTTGACTCGTGAGTGCGGGCACTTTCAACTTCGTTCGCTGACCGAGGAGCAGTTCAAGTGTCTCAACTTCGTCGCTGGTCCAGTCTCCCAAGGATGCCGACATACGGACGCGTCTTTTGGCTAAGCTGCAATATGACAGTACGGTCACACTCCAGTAGTTGGCCGATGAGTGTCAGGTGCTGATCAACCTGTAGCATGACGCCGCAATGATCCAGAACACTTCAGCATCTTGTTTGGTCTATGCAGTCGCAACACCCAAGCCGCAATCTGCCGCACCGCCTAATCAACTCATCCGAGGAAAGAAGTCACCCTATCCGTGTCGATACTCTGATACTCGGCACTTATACCGAGACTGTACCTTTTTACTGGCACCGATGCCAACGCTGTCGTCAGTTGTAGCACCGACATGCCTACTGTATTCCTACGCCAACCAGAGATCAAACCTAACCTGACATCTATTTCCATTCAAAGCAAAGCTTTCAGACCATATACAAGCACGGAGGTAAACCGGCTGACATCTGCTTGAGCTTGCTAGCCACATTCCAATCAATGCCACCGATTGCAGGTAGTTCGTAGATGTCATGATCTACGGTCAACCGGTTCGACTGCAGTTGGACGCTGCCTCAGACATCACGAGTATCTCGGAGGATCTGCTTATCCCCTGGTAAGCCACCTTTCAGGGCAGCCTCACAAACAGCCACCACTACGTGCGGGAATCGTGTGCAGATCACAGGGCAGCTGCACTGTTCTATCTTCCCAGGTACTACCGCGGATGACACTTTCTACATCACGAGGTCGAAGCTCAATTTTCTTGGTCACGATTTGTTCGAACACATGAATTTGAACAGTCTATCATTTCGAGCCATCTGCAGCGCGGAACAATCACTGGCAAAGCTGAAGAACCAGACCGACGACATCAACAGACAATTCGCCCCAGCACTACGGCTCACACCATTGGCTCATCCGGTTTTCCGTTTGAAAAGGCACGTCCCCTACGCAGACCAGCTGTTGTTCAGTACGGAACTCAAGCGATTAGAGCCAGCAATAAAGCCGGCTGTTTCCGGCAACCACAATCCTTTCGCCAATAATGAACCTGTCCACACACGCGACTACCGAGTTTGCCACGCAACTTGGACTGAAGCAACAGCGACGACCAACTGTGGCAGTATGTTATATGATGTCGCTCTGTTTGGGGACACGGGTTCGTCCCCGCACATAACTTTGATCACTGCGCGTTGCGGTTACTACAGAGGACCAGATGATACATAGTTGTCACCTTACATACTTCTGGACACATTCGGGATCGTAGAAGAACCACTGGCATCAGAAAGAGGTACCCAACCAACACGGATGACGGATGATTCCTGCCGTCGGACTGAATGTGTCCGACACGGGTCAAAAACACTGTAAGTAAACCCTAGTCACATACGGTACAATGCTGGCACAGCCCTGCCAAACTCACTGGCGTTCACCGGCGTCAGTACACTGTCGGGTCCGAAAAACACGGTTGCTATGCCTAGACCCAGACTACTCAGACAACAGCGAAGCTCTCCCTCTGGAAACTGCCGCCAGGGACTCGCTCATCTGCGCAGATCACAACGGAATTGTCATCAGTGATAAGGCGACCAAAGTGTCTTACACAGTTCCCACTAAACTCACCCCAGTCTCACTATTGTATCTCCCGGACTCTCCTCATGTCAGCAATCTGCATCCAATGCCTAGGTTAATCAGCACGCTAAACAACTGTGTTGTGTCTAACGTCTCAGCAGCATCTGCCCCTCCCATCTCTGCCCGGAGATAGGCAATTACATGGAAACACATGTGCCAACAAACGTACTCCTTTCCTTATGCTTTATACTGCTGCTTTATTTATCTACAAACATGGATGTGCAGAAAGAGCGGTTGCCTTGGTTGAGTCAGTAAAGGACTCTTACTACTGCTCAGTCCTCTTTCTGCGGGTCTCGGTACAGTCGTGCGACCTTTACGCGTTCCGTCTGCCTTATCAGTTATGAGTTCAATTCTGCAAGCTAAGCCCACTAACCGTTCCAAAACGAATCCTTTAGGCTACTCTGCGCGTGGAGAAGGATTGGAGGAGTTCCCCTGTTCCGAGTAGGACAGTCGAAACCCTACAAAGACGTTTAAAACAATTCTCTTTCTATCAACGCTTTACGATCTGTACGAACATATTTCACTTCAGAATCTGTGTTTCTAACCAAACTGGTTTGATGATGTCAAGCGTATGCAGATCGCTGTTATCCTTGTTTTAAACTCTATTACTCCACTCAAATGAGCTAACTAGTAGTTGATATAACGTTGTTTGGGGCAGATTTTTCCTTCTGCTCACGTGACTCTTCATCTAATTCTTTTTCTGTTGCGGTAGCTTCCGGATGGAATATCAATATCCATCTTGGAGTGCGTCGGTGTTCAGTTTCAACACGGTGACATCCGACTGGCTCCGCTTGTGAGCCTAGCTGGACAAAAGTTTTGGTCTGATGTACTCACCGATGGGATGAATCATTGGCGAATCTCGAATGGTATGTCTACCGGGCTTCAGTCCAGTCAGCTTTCAACTTGTCCTCAGCCGGTCGTGCAAAATCCCGGTACGCCTTCCACTCCCACAACTACTAATGCCACCACAGGTATTCTATCGACGTCAGCGCACTCGACGACTCCAGGTACTGAGTTGAGTTGCATCGTGTTCGATTCTTTTTTAATTGCTCCCCTTATCTGGCCTTAAAGATGTGCACAGTTTGCCCAGTTGTTTGGCGAATACATTGACATTTCTCTTTAGTCCCACTGCAGAAGTACAGTTAGCAATTTTCCGGCGCCTTCCACTGAAGGTTTATTCAATATTCCTTTTTCGCGCATCTCGCTAATATCTCACGTGATTTGGACCGGTCAAAATACAGATTCCTATCGCCGCTTTGTGACCTCCGTGCCCATTTGTCGTCCTTACGACTGCATCTAAAGACTATACTAGCCAACTTGATATTCTCAGTTTCAAGACGGCCGAGTATTATTTATCTTAGTTCATTAAAATTATACTCGTACACGCTGTGGTCATTCTTCCGATCAACCAATATACTTGCCAGCATTTTGTAAGAACGGCTTAGTTCCCCTCCATCTGAACTACATAATCAATTTGTCAGCAAAGATGACTCCAATCCTCAAGTCCATGTTTCATTTTCTATAACATTACCTCGGTATTTCACGCTGTCACTCAACTACGTGGCTTCTTATTTTACATAGGAGTGAAGAGAAGACAGGTCATGGGTACTTTTATTCTGCATCTTGCTCTGGCTACATGCATCTTACGAACTGCCGTTTCTGCTTTTAACTGGAAAGAAATGAATCCTATTTTTGCTCGCTTAAGGCTGCCAATCTGCTTCACTCATCAGTCCCCTGGGTTTTTCCTCAGACACTTAGAATACATAAACGGCAAACCGTGACTGGTCTCCGCGTACAAGTCGTCTTGTGAATAAGTTGTCTGGTTTGTAATACACGCGTCACCGGTTGGATCCTGCTTGCTGCAGGTAACCCTACAGTATCCTTAGTCGTGGTTATGCTCAAGTAGTAGCGGAGTGCCTGCAGGTCACCTTTCTACACTCTTGACCGTGGGTCCATCTATCGTTATGTTTCCGCTGACAGTACGAATAACCGATACAGCTACTAGGATCCCGGTTCGGCCACTTCTCAAATCAAAAGATGAAGACCCTCTGGCAAAACTTGTATGGAGCTCCCCCGGAAAACAGTTTGTGCAGCCAAAACATGGGGTCAGAACAAATAGCTCATGAAAGAATGACCTGCTTAAACTTTCTAAACTCTAGCAACTCTTATACCATTTCCCGGCCAAGTCGTCCTCTTGGGCAAAAGGAATAATCTGAAGGCGCAGTCAACATGAGTCTACTCAATTTGTTCCGTGCGTACGCCAGTCAAATGTGCAGGTGTGTATGTGTGCGTGTATAGCCCGTCGCCTTCATCCAATTGGACCTCAGACGCACTAAGTCATAGGGGTGCAGGTGCGACGCTTCAGCTCTTACGCACGGAACAAGTTAACTGAGTAGGCTCATGTTGAATGCCCCCTCAGATTATTTATTTTGCCCAAGGGGACAACTTGGCCGGAAAATGGCGTAGATGAACGAAAAATTGCTCGTTGACTGCTCAAGTGATGAATTCACTGGAGGACTTTAAGATAGGCCATTCTTATTGCACCACTTCAAGGCACAACGATTCCATTGGCTGAATTTCCTTTTTCTAGCCCGTTAGCTTCAGGCGACTTGAAGCCCATCTGCTCCGGGCTGCTAGCTAGAGGGCTGGATTCGTAGGGTACTCTGGACGGGCTTACTGAACACCTACTCGATTTCCCCAGCCAGTGAATTAAAACATCACCTGGAACTGGCAGTCGGGTCATTTCTTCACATATTTATTGGCCCTATTTTCTCGACCGCAATTTCAATTCCCTTCCAATTAGTTCTCTGTCGGCTTCCTACGGAGGTGCAATATCAACTCGATTCCCACCTCGATCTATGTCGTTTCGGTTCCTCATATTCTTTAACCAGCTCGCTCCTGTATTCTGAGATGCGGCAACAATCTGGATTATTTCTTTTCACACTCCGCTCCTTTTCTTCTCTCTACCACCTACAAAACATGCCGCCCCATCTTCTCGGAACCCTGCGGAGCGTAAGGTCACATTGACCCTCGATGACCTAATCGCTGCTTTGACCGACCGTGGAAGCCACGTTGCCCGCCCATTGTATTATCGTTGAACACACAAACAACCACTTCTGTATCATGAAAGCTGTACTATCTCGTCTTAAATAATCCTGTCGCAACAGTGATCACCTTCCCTATATTTCAAACAAAAGCGCATGTGTACATTTATTGATAAAATTCGATAAATTTCCGATTTCTTCGCTGTTATTTTTATATGCAAATGTTGTGCTCTCTGATTGCTTTGTTAAATCTTTCCTACTACCAAATTCTGTAATCTTGGCTTGTCCACTTCCATGCAGGCAGAGTCTATTTTGTCCATTGATGAACCTTTCTATCTTTTTCACTTTCAACTTACCTACAGACGCACTCTTTTCAATTAATGCACATTTCGTTGTTTAGTAGTTCTGTGTCCAAAAGCGGAATTACCAAGAAACAACCAGTGCTCTGCGCACATTAGTAACAGATGCTCGCCGTCGTCCGCTCGGTCATAGTTAACTTAATACTTGCCACCTAGTTGTGCGCTTCCATATCCTCTACAAGAACGGTGAT